GGGGGCTCTTCCACGCGGGAGCCGCCGGGCAACCCCCGGCCACCCTCCCTGGCCTCCCGCCCCTCGGAGGGCTTGCTATGGTGCGCCTCTGTGCAGAGGTGTATGTGTGTGTGCTGTATCTGGTTTGGGTGTTGTTTTTGTTTTACTTTATTTTTTTCCCTGTGGTATTGTGCTGAGGATTTTGGTTTTAGCCAGAAAAATAGCTCCTAGGCCCTTATCAGCTGTCACAGCGGGTAATGTACTTTCCCCTAGAGTCCAGAGCTCAAAAGGCAGAGCCGGATGCCGGTGAAACATCCCCGGGTTCCCTCTGTGATCCCTTTAACCGTTGGAGTCCACGCGTGTGGGCAATGTAAAGGCTTTATGTCTAAAAAGAGCCCAGGCAGATCTTGCCCACCCCTGGTTTGCTTCAATTGCATGCATTTTTAGAGCTGGAAACTGGATATTTCTGGTGGCCAGGTATGGTGGGGAGACCCTGGGCTGCTCAGGAAAACTCTGTGGGTGGTGGGAGCAGCAGGAGGGACACTGCACAGCCCAGGGAGGTTTTGCGGAGTGTGCCTGGGGCAGACACCCCCGTTGGTCTTTATTTCTCTTTTGCCAGTTTACATGGATAGGAAAAACATTCTGGACCCAGCAAATCTGAGAGGCTGAGTGCAGAGCCCCAAGAACTCTGTCTTTAAAAAGCTAGGGCTTTGAGAGGACTGTTATGGGAGGAAATGCTAGGATAGAGAGAAGGGATAGGAATAAATCTAGGTCCTTTGCTTGGGTTCTTCCTAAAACATGCCTTTCTCTAGCCAAATTCCTACACCTGCCCACTTGCAGGTAGAAAGCTGCCATCAACCTGCTGAGGTTTCTCAGGCATTTCTGGGATGGTAAAGCCTGTCTCTGCCTTAGCTGTGGCCAGCATGACCCCTGCCTGTCTCCTGGTCGGGATTGCTAGGAGCAGCGGATGGGGCCCAGTCAGCTCAGCTATCAGGGCACCTCAGGGTGTGAGGGCAGCTGGAAGCCTGTCCCCTTGCACAGTACCCCTTGCCATCCCACTCGCACCAGACTCTCTGTGAGAAGGCCAGGGAAGGTTTCTCCCCACACATGCCCCATCCCTCTCCCCATGCACATGCATGCATACAAAGTGCCTGGCCCCAGAGGGCTGTGACTTACCAGGTTGACGGGGTGGATGTAGCCGTTTTCGTATTTGTCATTGGCCAGGATCTGCCTCAAGTGAGCGATGTAGCTGGAGGCCAACCTCAAGGTGTCCAGTTTGGAAAGCTTGGTGTCTGGGGGCACCCAGGGGAGGGTGGTCTTAAGCCTGGAGAAGGCTTTGCTAAGGACCCTCATCCTTGCCCTCTCCCTGGCGTTGGCAGCGTTTCTCTGGACCTGCTTTCCCTCCTGGCTCACTCCATTTAAGGGGCTCTTCTTGGGGGGAGCTTTCTTCCTCTTGCCCGGAGCCCCTCTCCCTTTCTGAGGGGAGCCATTCTCGCCATTGGATCCCTCCTCGTTGCTCTCGGTGGATGCCCCAAACTCTTTGTTAGTATCCATTTTCAAGCCATCGCACTCCAGCATCTCCACCTCCTGCAGATCTTCCACATCACTGAGGGACCCAGTGGACATGGTCTGGAAGATGCCAAAGGACCAGCAGGAAGGGGGAAAGGGAAGGGGGGAGGAAGGGCAGCTCTTCAAATCTACTTCAAGGCAGTGGAGGAGAGAAGGGGCACCAGTATTTTCCTCCTCTTCCCGCCCCCCCAGCACTAAGGCACGATACCGCCCTCCCGCCCCCCAACCCCGCTTTGCCCGTGTTGGAGGGAGGGAGTGAGCGTGTGTGAGAGAGGGGGAGAGAGAGCGAGAAAGCCGAGGAATTTAGTGAGGACACTAGTAATTTATCTAGGGGATGAGAGGCGGATCCAGCCCAGGGGAGGGGCCCTGCCCGCCGAGCACACCACGTCCCCAATCACAGACCTTTGCACAGGACAGGGGATGAGGTATCCCGGCAAGCCTTTGCCGAGAGCTCAGAACTGGGATTCAAATCTTCACAACTAGAGCAAAGCAACTCACTCTCTTCCCCCGCTCTGTCTTTCTATCCTCCCCGTTCCTCCTCCTCCTTCTCCTCTTCTCCTTCCCCACTTCCCTTCCCAGCCCAGGGTTGCTCTCCCCCTCCCTGCCTCCTAGATGACCCAGGCGGCTGGTGTCATGATTCTTGATGAAAGCCAAAATGGGTCATGAGCAGAGAGAGCAGCAGATCCACCAGCCAAGCCTTCCAGGGAGCTTTGTAATGTGTGCTGTCAAAACGCTGTCCTGTAACCTAATCTGGGGGAGATTTGTGGATGATTATATTTACGAATGCATCCTGTCCAGCTACTAGTGTATTCCAGGAAGGGAGCGCTCCACCGCCTGGCCGGCAGCGTGGACCTCGCCGTCACAGCCCAGCGGCTGGAGGCAGGAGGATCTGGCTTCTTCCAGCCTTCCTGGGCGATGTCCGACAAGTCCTGGTCCCCTCTCACTCTTTGAGTCCTCCCAGCTGTAAGCATCCTGGAGGCTGCCCGTTCCTCAGGTGTGCCACATGGCTGAGATCCCGGCAGTCTGTGGAGCCCCACTGAGCCAAGGGAGAACACTGTGCAGCTGGGGAGGGTCTGTGTGGCTGTGCATGGGGCATCAAGGGATTGCGCTGAAATGAGGGAAAAGGGGGGGTTTATTGGATGGCAGAAATTGTGCAGAAAAAAAAACCTTTTCTCAGTGTGTTGCTGAAGAGCAGATGTCAGTGGTTCATTCTGCTGTACCTGTGGAGCGTTTTGTCTGCTGATTCGTGCATGCTCCCTGACTCCAAATTAGGGAGTTTGGGCTGAATCAAGAGTAAGATAAGGCCCCTTCTGTGGGAGCGGTGGGAGTCGGGGCATTAGGCCATACTCTGCAACCACTGGAGCCAAACATTCCCAATCATTTTACCACCAGTGCCAAGGAGCGGGTTGCTGTATAGCCTGAATGAGCAGACGTATACTGCAGTTACGATCCTTATGCACATGTGTATTCAGTCTCTGCAGAGCAGGCTTTTAAAAGCAGTCAATCTTGGCCTAGCTCTTCCTCTTCTCCATGTAAAATCTTCTTCTAAATCCACACATGGAGCCCAAATTGGCCAGTAAAGCATGAACTTGCTCCCGTTGCTTCTTCCCTCCTCGCACATTTCCTGAAACCTCACAGATCCATGAGCAGCCTGGGTTTTGAACACAGGGGACTAAAGAATTGGGTATGATTTGCACATGGGACCTTTCCAGACGTAGTGACTGATGTGATTCAGGAGTTGTCCACTTACTCAGCTGCTTACCTGAGGATTCACATAGCTCTGGACAAAAATGTACAGCCGGGGATGTCACCATGGAACGCAGTGGCTTTGGAGCTAATCCAAGGTCACTGGAGCCACAGGGCAGTCTCTTACTGATCTCTGTGAGCATCACATCAGCTTTTCTGCATGCACTAAACAAAACCCAGTCAAATAAACGAAAATCATGGAGGGCCAAACTCCATGTGTGTCTGCCAAGCACTGTGAGCTGTCTGCAGAGTAAAATTTCGGTAGAAGGCAGTGTCATTTTTGATAACTAACAAGGAAGTCTTTCCTACCTCTTGATCCATCTTGGTTCCTCGGCTCATGTAAACGACAAGAAAAAAGGGCAGATCTAAACTTTCAACCGCCTATTTACCATTTGGCTGGAAGATAATACCTTCCCACTCACAATAGGATAAGTACATTAAAGTATCATATCTCGAAGCCCTGGGCTCTTGGGAATTCACTAACTTCTAACGTCATGTTATATGTGCCCTGTTTGTGTTTTCTCTGTGTAGAAAGTAAACAGGTTGTCAGCATATCAGTCCTAATTAATGGGTTAGTTTTGTTTTGTTTTGGTTTGGGTTTTTTTTCTTTTTTATTTTTGTCTTTATAACATCCTTGTTGCAGATCCAAAATATTACTAATTACCAGTGTGGAGATTTATGAGCCTCCTTATTTTCTAGGCCTGATTGCTGTTTGTGCAGGTGGAGATTTAAATGGCCATATCCATTGCAGAGATTTATAGTCCAAGTGATTGATGTTAGAAATGAGCTACAAGGCTCTTACTTGAGGAAGAATGACAGAAAACCAAGTTGAAGTTGCTTGTGTCTCTAAACATGAATGACCAGAGAGCGCAAAATCCCATCAAAATTTCAGCCTCAGAAGCTCCCAGAACAAAACAACAAAATAGGTGTATACTCACATCCTTTCTATTTCTTATTTTTACTTCACTTCAGTAGTTTCTAAATTTAGTGTAAAAAGTAGAAGGAAGGAAAATGCCTTTAGTATGCTGCTACATGTGCATTCTGAAAATCAAGGAATGCATACACGTGTGTTATGAGCCTTTGCAATTACCACACATTTGTAGCATTTACTGACTTACATATATTTTGAGTCCTCAGAGCCAGCAAAATTGATCTAATACAGACTACACAATTTGGTGGAGAGCCAGGGCACATTTTGTATTAATTTTGTGTGTATGGTGTGTACACATTTATACACATGCATGTGTCATAATATACTTTGAGTCCTTTATGCATGCAAACTATTAGAGACTCTTTTATCAACATAATTTTCCCTTTTTCCCTTTCCAAAGGGGCCAGCATGAGCAGACCAAAAAAAATGCATCCTTTCATCTCCAGGTAACTCTTGGTTCCTTATTTGTTTGTTACACAAGTTGAACCTCTCCTTTTCTAACCTTCCTGCTCCTTATGTCCCTTGTAGCAAGCTCAGGGCCTGTACCCCTAATCTGGCTCCCAATTTTAGTCCCTCTCCCTTCACCTCAGTTGCCTTTCCCAGTCCTCCTGACTCTCATTCTGAATTGCAACCCTGGCTTGGGGTAGAGACCAACAGGGTGGAGACCAGCACAGTGCTGTGGGAAGGGTAAAGCTGGGATGGCTGCAAGCACCACGGTGATGGTGTGGCCACTTACTTCTCCAATTAGAGACTGGGACCACAGACCAGCCACTGGGTCAGTAACTGGCTGGGAAAGACAGATGGAGCTAAAGTCCTTTTGGCCTTTCCAGTACATTCACTTCTTCATTTATGTTTTAAAAGGGAAGTTGAAGTACTGACATGGGGAACATTAATACAAATCTGTGAATTTCCCTGTAGTTGACTTTCTCCTCTGCATGGCTCTGGCCACACAGGAAAGAGCATCTCACTTTTACTTCTCATTGAGACCCACTAAGCCATAAGGTCATTTAGGACATCCCAGGCGTGGTGGGGTCAGAGATTCAGGATGCCTGGTCTGAAGGGTATTAGATGGGGGACATGTCACACATAGGCTTATGTTGATCTGTGGCAGGCTACAGATTTTCCCCTGGAAAGAAAAACCCCACTTCTTATGTCTCCAATCTTCTCTCCCCTAGGCTGGAAGAACACAGTAGTTTGAGAAAAGCTTTGGAACTTCAGGCCAATATTTCTGCAAGTGTCTCATGATGTCTCAGGCACGGCATGGATTGCTTTTGTTTTGTTTTTAATGTAGGTGTCATTTATAAAGGCACCCCTTTCACTGTGCATTGAACAGTCATCACCCAAGAAAAACCTCAGATCACCTACAGCTGAGGAAAACACAATTAGTAACTGATTTTAAAACTCTTCACCCAAATATAATACAGGTGTTTTCCTGTGTTTGGAGAATGACCAAGGAAGTCACCCACAGGCAGACAGCCGATCATTAATCGTGTTCCATCAGGTTAGAGAATAATCAGGAATAAAAGTACAGCCAGATTAACATTTTCAAGTTGCAATTTAAAAGAAACAAATAAATCTGGTTGTGCTGAGATTTATCCTGTTCACTCTTGGTATCATCTGGAAACTAAGTAAAATGGTGGAGGGACTTCAGAAGCATACTTTACAAACCTTAAATGAAATACTAGTAGTATACTATTATATATAAGTAATACTAATGATTCAACATAACATAACTAATATAATAATCCTGTGATATTTTTGTGATAGGATTCTGTCTTGTACATTCTAGAGGATGAACAGTGCTAGGGAAATAGATCAAAGTTTGTAAGAGTGGGATAGCTTTTCAGAAGGGCCAGGGCACTGAAACCCTCCCACAGTTCCTTTCCATTGCTGTGTATCTGTTTCTGGTCACAGTTATGGTTTGAAAGGTAAAAGACATGGTGATAAATAACAGAAAACACAAAGAGTAAAAATAATGCCATTGCCAAGACAGTAAAAAGGCTGTTCTGGAGAACTGGCCTGAGAGGCCTATGTTGGTATGTGATACCAGCATTTTTACCCTTTCCCAAGAAATCCCAATCTCTTGCTTCAAAGCCCCAAGAAATCAGAGCTTTTTGAGAATCTGTTCTCTATGATTGTTCGCTGTGGGGAAAAAAACCCAGGAAAATTTCCTTCTATTCTCATTTAGAAATATATGAAAGTTTTGCTGATACCTAGAACAAAAAAATTTCTGTCTTACTGATTAAAGATTAGAAAATTTAAAGGAAGTAAAATGCAGTTTCATATATATAAATATATATATATATAGTTATGCAGCAGCCACAATTCCATTTCATGTGACTTTTTAAAAAACCTTGAAATATCTCAAACCCAAAACCATTGAAACTCTGGGAAATGAAGTTCCAAAAAGAATTACTTGAAAAAATATTGTATGAAAGTAAAATTATTTAATTCCAGATTTTATGTTTTAACCCTTTTTGTCACATTGATAACAAATCTGTGACACATATAAGTAGTGCTTTTG